TTCTGTCCTCTTTTAAGATTAAGATTTGGATGGTCTGCAATAAGCTTTTCAGTTACTTCCCTTAAACCTGATTTATTCTTTTTTTTTATGTACTCCAAATGGATCAAAGCAGAAAGTCTGCCTTAATATATAATGAGTCTTGCTTTGTGACATCTTGAAATGAATTCAGAAACTATTCTGAAAAATCCTGATACTGTAGGTCAGTGCTAATCTGGGATTTTCCAATGGGAATACCAGGTTCCTATTTTGAAATTCAAAGAAATATCCACCTGGAAAATCCCAAGGAATTTCCACCTGAGAATTTTCAAGTGATGCAAGTTTAATTTTCTCATACTTACATATAAAACTAAGCAGTATGGTGTACTATTGGTTTTCCTATATAGGTACAATACTGTGTTATTATACGGAAAATGCAATTTCGAATTGACAAGTATACATAATACTTGCTCATTGTTCAAGAACTTTTGGAGCGCCCATCACCAAACTTATAGGGAAGCTTCTTTACATCATTAGGTATCTCATGAATGAATTTAAAAAAAAAATAGATAAAGATATATATTTTTTTTATTCAACTTTGAACTTTACTTAAAGTTATAGAGCTACTCAATAGCTTTAAAATGACACCAAAATCAGCTCTGTAGGTGCCACGCTTTTCGAGATATGGTCGGTTAAACACGCAAGGTATCGCTAATTAGCCAAAAGTTTGTTAGCAGATATCTCGCTAATTAGGAGGCCTAGAGAAAAAAATTTTTCATTTCTGATCATTTTTCATGGGTCCCAACAACATACAAAAATTTGAACAAATTCCGAGAGATTGAGGTTTTTTTTGGTTGATTTGACATGGAATTACCCTTTTGTACTACTACAATGATATGAACAAAGGCATCAGAAAGCAGCAAAGCTAAGAACTATGAAGTCTCTGTCTGAGGACCTCAAAAATTTTATTGCTGCTGGCTCTTGTGAAAAAACAAGCAAAGACGTCTCGAGAAATGTGAGAAAGTCAATGGTCAACATTGATATAGACCATGTAAGCTTTTGACAAAAAAGTAAAATTATGATATTAAATGTGATACTGTGCAATATATTCTAAAATAATAGTAAACAATTTTTCACTTTTCTTTCATTAGGTTTCAATTCCATGCCTTCACATCTCTCTTGGAGTTTTTAAGAAACTGTATGACTTGCTAGAGCTCGAAGCCCATTACATAGATAGCATAATATATAAGCTCAGGTACAGTAGTCAAGTACTCTATATTTAAATATATTTAATAATATTGTGTTACAGTAGAATCTGATTTTTTTATGGTTTCTTTCCATATCTTTATAGACACACTAATCCATCAGAATCCATGAACAATTTTGAACTGGCTATTGCACAAAATGCTACGAAGGTTGAAACATGTAAAGAAAAGATACAGATTTTGCGTGAAGAAATCAACACCATAGAGGACAATATGACAATTGCCCAGCTAGCAAAATCTGCAACTTTAATATCTTCAAAGTGCCAGGCAATTAGAGAACTTGTAAGTATTTAATATAGCGTAACAATAAAAAAGAAGAAATGGCCATGTTAACTGCACATTACAGTAATTTAAAATTATATTTATGTATTAGGAACAAGCAATGGAAAGCGACACTTCAAAGTTTGGAATGAGGCCAATTGTTTCTGCCATGGACTCTGTTTTAAGGAAACATCAGGTTGACAGAAAAGCATATCATGGTAAAGCTTTTAATGGAAATCATGTCCATAAATGTTGCAAGGTAATTTTCAATATTTTATATTATTATGTAAGTATAATACATACTTCAAGTATTGAAATACACGCCATCGTGTATTTCAATGATTTTGCCATCGTCAATGATGATGACATAATGTTGAAATATTGAATCCCAACACGATGGCGTGTATTTGAATACTTGGAGTATGTATTATACTTTCTTATCTAAGATTAATCAGTGGACCTTTCGGTTTTATATTATTATCACTGGAGTACGATTTTATGTTACAGTATATTAGTGTATTTTTAAAAATTATTACTGTTTATTACAGTATGTCAATATATTATTTGAACTCGCAAACTATAAACCTAATTAATTTTATTTAGACAAGACAATTTCATAAATTTTTTTCCTGCAGATAAATATAATATCCCAGTTGCTGGAATCATGCGAAAAAACACTAGATGAGCAGGCAATGGAAATTCCAATCAAGCATGCAAAAGAGTTGTCATATAAAGCCAATATGATGGCATCCAAATTCGTTCCACTTTTCACAAAGTTTTCAACAGTGGAACAAAAAATCAATCATACTCGTCCAATCTCAGATAAGGAGATACAAGAAATTGGTGGGTATATTTTCCTTGCAACATTTATAAATGTTTTTAAAAAATATAAATAGAATATTCAATATATATAAAAACCCGAGTTATTTATCTTATCCCTATCACTTTTACTTTTTTTGTTTCCTGGATAGATGACAACATCAATTATTTCATTGGAGAATACCGACAACACGGCCACAGCATTTCGCCTAAACTGCATATGCTTGAAATGCATGTTGTACCTACCCTTAAGAGATGGCACATTGGATTAGGTCTTCTAAGCGAGCAAGGTGGTGAGCAAATCCACGCTGCCTTCAACAAGCAAGCAAGGAATGTTTACGGTGTACAATCTGAAATGAGACAAAAGGAGTCCATTCTTAAAAACCATATAATATTAACATCCCCCGAGATACATGACAAGATAGTAACACCCAGAAAAAGAAAATATTGTTAGTATATTTTGATCATATTCAATTTAAATGGTAAATTTTCAGAAATTTAGACCACTAATTTTGATATTATATAATAATGCCACAATTGTTTTATCTTCATCAGGTAATGAAGAATGAAGAATCTGGGACCATACAGCCTTAAAATCAAAATCCTTAAATGATTTCTTACAGACAATTGAACCGCACAGACTACTGTAATTACGGAAGTACATTATTATCATGGTGTAAAAGGAAACACAATATTTAAAACGTCATTAACATTGTACACACAAGCAGCGTTGTGCTACAATTTAAATATAGAGTTTTGAATCATTTTTCGACATGTATGTAAATTTTGTACAAACAATAATACTATATATTAACGCTGTACAGAAAACCGTAGGCCAACTGTACATATCTAAATTTTGTACGAACAATAATATATGGCCTACTGTTAGAAAATTTAAATATGGACCGTATCATATGAGTTGATTTAAAAATATTTCAATATGTTTCAACTATTAAAATATTAGAAAAATTTTGTATGGACAATGAAATACTGTAATGTAAATATGGAGTGTATACGAGTTGAATTTCATTGATAAATTCAAAATTAAATACTCTGTTCCATAATTGTTCCATTAGTTATTAATGCAATGAATAATGTTATTGTTGTTATTAATGTTATGAAAACCGTAATAGCTATTCCTGACAAATAAATATTGTATGTTAAAAATAAGAATGTAATTTATGTCCGGAAATATGCAAATGACGTTAGAAACAGACTGATTTATAAAATAACACATACTACATTAATAAAACCAATAAAACAAAAATATTATTAGTAATTACCAGAATAAATTATTAATACATATATGAAAAATACTGTATCATTATTATTATTATTATTATTAATAGTAGTAGTAGTAGTAGTAGTAGTAGTTAGAGTAGTAGTAGTAGTAATTACGAATGATAGTAGTTAGAGTAGTAGTAGTAATTACGAATAATTGACAAATAAATACTGTAAAGTGTATGTTAAAAATACAAAAGGTTTCAAAGTTGATTACATACATTTGGATAATTAATATCATTTGGCTAATTGTGTATTGTTTGGGTATCATTTGGGTAATTGCGTATCATTTGGGTAATTCGTCGGACCCCCATTGACTTAGTTAGGCCTATACCTTAGGCGCATGCCTTGGACTAGGAATAGGCCTAGCTAGTCTAAAAAAATTGAATTAGTAAATTGTGAAACAATAAAAACGAATATATGTATCATTTGAGGCCTAGGCCTATGTAGATTATTTTTAAACGCCTATGTGTTATGCGCGCATACCTGCTTAGGCCTACGTCGATGCCGAAAGAGCTAAGAAAACCTCATGAGCGATCACTTCCTAGGCGTGCATATGGCGCTAAGC